AATATAGAGAAACAGACAAAACTAAACCAAAAAATCTTGAGACATCCGACTGTATAATTGAGGCTCTCAGAGTGGGAGTATGGGAGGTGGGAAAGATATGGGGGCAGAGGGTCCAGTGGTCTGTAGTGGAGGATCTGGTGGTGGGAGTGGTGTGTCCACCTACCTCTGAAGAAGTGTGGACCCGTGCTCCTAAAACATATTCAGTGTTGTAAAGCAGTGTGACCTCATTAAAAGTAATACAGATTTTTAAATTTTCATTTTTTAAAAAAGTAAAATGTCCCCTTGAGCTATGATGAAATGCAATGATCCCCTAATCTTCCTGCTTCCTTCAAAACACCAAACCTTCCGTTTCTTGGGAGGGACAAAGGAATAAAACTTCCAGTTCCATTCATTCACTTTGCATATCTTGTTGAGATTGGCACAAATACCAAGACCGGGGCAAATCAATTCCTTCTAAGTTCTGTCTTAGAAAATACAGACATGCTTCTTTTCCATGTGGTCTTCCACCTGCCTCCATGTGAGGTCTGGTAGCTGCCTGGCCCTTAGTTGTGACCATGCCAGAAGTGTTGTTTGGAGGTGGGTAGAGAGAACCATTGAGTCCAGATGTGTCTAGTACATTTTCTCATTTGATTTATAAATAACAAGTATGAATGATATTTTGGTTTGAATCACCATCTGTCCACAAACTATGATTATTTTCAAAAATTCCTCTAAATAATGTGGTAAAAGAAAAAGATTTGATTAATCATTTGCTTCCAAAACCTACACAAGTTTTGCCCAAATGATAGGAGTACATCATGGCATATGCAAACGAGGGCACCATTTTGGAGTGAACTGCTTCTTTGGGAAGCAGAAACATTTATGAAACTCAAACTGGGAAAGAGGAAATAGACACAAACTCAATTTAAAAATTGAAACCAAATCCTAATTTGACATACAGTGAATTTTCTTCTTTATAGAACTGGATTATGAAAATCTGGATTATGAAAAGTTACATATGGCAGTAGTTGCCTAAACCTAGGGAGGGAAGCTTATTGGAAATTCACTATAAATGGATGGGTGAACTATAGCTGGTCTTAGAAGGCTTGTTGAAATCTTACCACAAAACAGTTATTTAACTGCATATGAAAGGAGCCTGCAAAAAATGGGAAGACAGGGCCTCCCTGGTGGCACAGCGGTTGAGCACTGGGTTGCGAAGCTGCCTGCAGCCTCTGCAGCATGGTTCGATCACCGGGCGAGGGTCCCACATGGCGTGCAGACCTCTCCTGCTGGCCAGACCTCTCCTTCCGCCCGCTGCTCCCCTCAGCAGTGTACTTCGACAGTCTGCCTGCTCTGCTCCCCGCTCTGATTCTGGTGAATTCTCTCCCCCTCCCATGCTTCTAACTGTACCCAGTGCTTGTATAAATAAATAAATAAATCTTTAAAAAAAATGGGAAGACAATATTGTACTCTAGAAGAGAAAACAAAGCATTTTTCAAAAAATTTATTGTAAAAAGAAAAAAAATACTTTCTTTTTATTTTTTTAAATTATTTACCATTGTTTTAATCTTTGTTAATTTTTGATAGTATAGGATTTCTCCCCTCAGGTGTGGACCCCAAGGTTCTACCATCACCAGTGTATTCACCAGTGTATTCCATTGAGGAAAAGAAAATTTTAAATGCTGTGGCCTCAATAAAATTCAATAAAAATAAAATAGGATATAAAATATGAAAACAACATGAAAATACAAAATGAGATGTGTAGGAGGTTTTTAAGACACAAGCCAAGCTGAAAAGTTCCCCAAAATATTATAACTATTAAAAAAATGGGATAGTAGAATTTATATTTTATCACTATGCATAAACAGCAGAATTATCAGCAATGAAAAGTTGGGTCTTGTGTACTGAAGGATAAACTTGGGAAGTCTTAAAAGAAAATGAAAATAGTGACAATAGTCAGTCTCCGTTTCTGCCTGGAAATGAACAGAACACAAGAGGAGAAATGAAATTAAATAAACTGAATTCTGAAATGCTGTCTTTGATGTTTGTTTTACCTTCAATATTTTTTGAACTAGAAATGTTTGCATTTGTATTAAAAAGTCTAATGTAGTGATGGTAAAAGCAAATGCCTATGAAAGTTATATAAAATCTGAATCATGGTAAATGAAAAACAAAGCTTGGAAAATTGTGGAAAACAGCAGAACACATGCTTTACCTAAATTCTTTCAAAGTTAAAATTTAAAACAAATTTTAAGTCGGCATATTAGCCATACTGGGCCTACTGTCTACCAGTTCTTAACCCAGGTCAAAAATTTAGTTTCTCTTATTTTAAATCCCTTTATCTCTCATACAGATCAGAGAGAGACAGAGATGATAGCTAGCTAACTAGCTACCTAGATAGATAGATAGATAGATAGATAGATAGATAGATAGATAGATAGATAGATAGATAGATAGAAGATAGGTAATAGAAAGGACACAACAAATATATGTAAACATATATGGGGATAAGATAGAGGAATTTAAAATAAGAGATAAAATTATATCTCATTATATAATTTTTATATAATGATAGTATGGTCATATATGTATGTATCTATATAGCTATGTATACATATAGCTATGTATATACATACACTGTATAGGAATATCCAGATACACAAATCCAACCATAGTACCATATGTATAGACCTATATAGTATAGTTAATACACATACAGCCACTCTCAATAGATAGATGATAGACAGATAGATGATAGACAGATTGATATGCACATATTCATATAAAACAATACCTGATTCTAAAAGGACGTGAATATATCAATTCAAAAATGTACATATATTAGACTTCTAAAACACAATTTGAAAACAAGACTGATGCAGAGGGATGAGGCAGCAACTAGAAACCCGATTAAATGGTCCCACTTGAGCACAGAACTGAGCATCAGGCAAGCTGACTTTAACTGGACTTTAGGTTTGAAAACATAGAGACAAAGTCTAAAAAGATGTGTGGAATCCACTCAGAAAGCTCCTTATGATCTCTCAATTGAGGTTTGTCCAAAAGTAAGACTATGGAAAGAATCCAGAGAAAGTTTGACTCTAAACAAATGAGTGCCTCCAATCAAGTGACACCTATTGACACAAAAGAAAAATGAATTAACTAAGTGATAAACCCCAGATACAAAACAAGCTCTATTTAAAGTGAATGACCTTGAAGTTCCCTTTGTCCAGAGACTGTTGAAGGGGCTAAGGATCTGCAGACCCAAGAGAAAACGTGGTTCTCTGACCTCATGCTGTCAAACCCACTGACCATAAAATTTGCAGTGAAGAGTTGGCAGAAAGAGAAGAATAGAAACTCTCTAAAGCAAAATCACCAGTAATTCTGCTTTGTAGTCAACCAAATTGTTAACTGGAAGGAAAAAAACATTTATTTTAGGTGCATTTTTGGGAAATGTCAGCCTTAGCATTCTGATACAAAAACTTAGGTCTGACAAATAAATCTGACCCATAAGGAAAGATATGTCACGGCTCCTTTTGATCTCCTGAGCCTCCTACACAATCTACAGCTGTCTCTATTCCTTGCCATGATAGTCTGGGACAGGACCCATCTTCTGCAAATCCAGCCCATGCCCAATCAGGACAGAGAAAGCCCCAGAACCACATGTTCTCTAAAATCCTGAAATGTCACAGAGCCTGAGCAAATGGCCATGGGAACTATTAGAACTGACATTTAAAAAAAAAATCAAATGGACAGAAATAAATTGTAAATCACTGTTCACTAGAGTAATTTTGGTGGATCAAATATATTCTTATTCATCAATTTCTATGAGCACGTATTTATTTCCTTCATTTAAGTCTTCCCTTATCACTAAGAATGTCAAATTAACAAATTACTACAACATGTGGTAACATGACTCCAGGTTACACATATTTCTAAAATCTACAAAGACCAGATATCACAAAGCATTCTACAAAAATAAATACTGTATATACAGGGTTGAGTGTTTGGTTTCTGGGGCCAGATTGCTTTTGTGTTGGAGACAAACCAGGTGCATTCTAGTGTCACTGAAATTGCCACCCCACCCCCAGGGTAAGGAGAGACCAAAGGAAGAGACAAGTCACTCCAGGTGGGAGGTAGTAGTTTTAATGAACAGGAATATTTAAGAGGCTTTGTCTAGGGTGGGTTCAGGATGTCACTGCTGCTCACCAAATCTCATAGTTTCATGGGGGCTTTAAGTGTGTCCAATCATGTATGCAGTCCAGATAGCCTACAACAAGATGCTCATAACACAACCTCTAAGGGGGCATCCTTGCACAGCTTCCAGGAAGGCCCATCCCCTGGAGGGGGTGAGAAATCTCTGCCCAAGTTCAGCTTGAGGTCAAGTAGGCCATCATGTTCTCTTGACTGCCTTCCCCATCACTGTGTTGGGCACACATTAAAACATTGACAAAAGACTAAAGTAGATTTCACTCCAAAGAAGCTATGCAAATGTTTAACAAAAGTTGGTAAAATTTGAAGGAGGAAATGCAAATCAAAGCCACAATGAGATAATAACTTTCACCCACAGGAGGGTCAAGCTCAGTAAAATGGAGCTGTTCCGACAGTGCTCTGAAGGGCACAGCTACTGCTGATGAGAAAATATATTATTGAACAAATGAATATAATAAAGATTCCAGCAGAACTTCCAGCCCAGGTGCAATGAACACTCCAATGCAGGCATAATTAACAAGTTTGCTTACTTACAGCTCCTTCCCTTTCAAGATTCATAGCCAGGGCCTCAGCACTCTTATCTACAAGGTCAGGCAGCCAACCAGCTGGTCTCTCTCTCCAAGGCCATTCCCTAATGGCTGCATCTTTCTCCCCTTAATTTATTCCCCTTGTCTGGGGACTTTGCCACAAATGGTTGTGCCTGCTGAAAAACTATGCTATCAGTGTAACAGATACGGAGGCAGTTGTGTATTAAAGGAACCCTTGGTCTTTAAACTGGTGCTCAGACCTTATGGAGCTCCCCAGGTCTGGGACCTCATGCATGAGTAATAAAGCTTCTCCTGACCTCACCATTCCTGAAGTACCACTTGTTCTTCCTCTGCCTGGGGAAAAGGCTAGAATTTACTTCTACAACACTGCCACCCTCACATCCCATCCAGGGAAGCCCCGAAGACTCAACACATCTACGTTTAGAGAGAGATTTTAGAATGGAATTAAGGTTAAGTGAGATCATAAAGGTGAGGACTTAATCCAAATAGTTATTTCCTTATAGGTCTCACAAAAAGAGAAAGATATTCTCTCTCTGTCTCTCTCTCCCTAACCCCCACCCTCTACCATCTCAGCACCACCCTGTTCTCTCTGTCTCTTGCTCTTCCCCCTCTCCACCACGTGAACAGATAGCAAGAACTTGCCACCTGCAAATCTTCCAGCCAGGAAAAACATCTTCAAGGAGCCTAACCATGCTGACCTCAAGCCTGCAAAACTGTGAGAGAATTGCTTCTATTATTAAAAAAAAAAAAAAGATAGAATCACAGTGTGCTAACTTGTCTCAACAAAATAACTATATAGTCTTAATAAAGTAAAAATGGCTATTGATTAGTCAAATAATAGTTAGATAGCAAAATAGGAAGAACAATTTTCTGGGGAGTTATTGGGGAGTGGGCTATGTAAGGAAGTTAAATATTCATCCATCACATAACAGCCTGCTATATTATTAATTAAGGATAAGGCAATAATTACTAAAGAAACAATCTAAAACAATGTAAGGTGGCCATGTCTGGGGAACAATACTGAAGAAAAGTAACCAAAGAAATATAAATTTTGCTTTATATCAAAAGTCACCCTGTCCTATTTAATTGTTTAATTTGCATGTTTTAATTAGACTAAAAATTTTAATGATTTTTTAAATGCTCATTATCATATATTAATGTTAGTTAAATATCAGGAAGAAATATAGAAAAGACTGATTTGTTATATTATTGAAGATTAAGAGTCTCCAAACACACAAATAAATATCCATAACTTTAAGAATTAAATTTGTTACAAATGTGGAATCATAAATCAGTCAGAAAAGGATGGTATTATTCAATTAACTGGGACTGAGGTAACTGGTTAACATTTGAAGAGAATAAACCCTATTATAGATCAATTTGAAGTTAGATAAAATAAATTCAAGCTATCATCTTGCACAGCATTTCTTGAATATTTCAACGATATCTGAGATGTCTCTATAAAGCTCCACAGAATAAATAAATACCCCTAAAAATTTTTAATAAGTCAAACTATCAAAAAAATAGAAAAAAATAACAACTTAAAACATTTTTATGCATAAAATAAATTGAAAAATCTTAACATTAGCTTTAACTACTCAAGATTTTTAACTTCTATGCATCAAAGAAATCATTTTATTTAAAAAGGCAAAACACAAAGTTGGAGAAATATTTGCAGCGTGGTTTAACATGTGATATATTTGTAAAAGTTCTTAACTATCCAAAGTGGATAAAATCAAATATCCCAGTAGGGAACCATGGCAGGAAATGATTCGTGGGAAATGAAAACATGAGTCTTATCACTGTATGGGTAGCTCTTCAGACCCTCAGCTCTACAAGGAACATTCCAGGAAAGGTGAGGATTAACTATTTAAGGAGATTACAACAGGTCTGGCATTGAAAACTGTATCTCTTGGTGAATATTTTGTTTGTGCAGCAAAAAGACATACTATTGGGCCTCCCTGGTGGTGCAGCGGTTGAGCGCTGGGTTGCGAAGCTGCCCGCAGCCTCTGCAGCGCCGGTTCGATCCCCGGCTGCTCCCCGGCCACCGGAGGAGGGTCCCACATGGTGCGCAGACCTCTCCTGCCGCCCGCTGCTCCCCTCAGCAGTGCACTTCGGTCCTTCTGCCTGCTCTGCTCCCCGCTCTGGCTCTGGTGAATTCTCTCACCCTCCCGCGCTTCTGACTGTACCCAGTGCTTGTATAAATAAATAAATAAATCTTAAAAAAAAAAAAAAAAAAAGACATACTACTGCTAACAGTGTAATTTAAGAAAGGGATTCCCCATGTTCCCCGCCCCACCCAATGAAAAGTGTTGCTGAGGTTGGAGGGGAAGCTGAAAAGGACAACAGGAGGACTTGGGAGGAATCCTGGAGGAGGCACATGAAACATATATGAAGATGCTGTGCTTGCTTCTTGGGCTTTGGGCTTGCACCAGGGATTAGGGAGCTATGGAAGGAGACACAAGCAAGAGACGCTGGTGAGAGGCTCACAGAGGGGCTGGCAGTGGCAGCCCTTATGTTGACTTATAATTTGGTTTTGCTTCTTTCCTTCCAGACTTGCCTGGCCCCTTCTGCCCCTTCCCTATGGGTCCCCACCAGAAGGTGCCTTAGACTTGGGGCAGGCTTTCGGGCCTCAGTGGCCATGTTTTGGGCCACCCCTGTTTGGCTGGGCATTTACCCACAAGGGGATGAGTAATTCTGGGCACTTGATTTGGGAAACTATTTTAACTATATTCTTTCTCTTTTCTTCTTTCCATTGTACAACTAATTCTATTAAAGTTCTTTTCTATTGAGGATCTGTCATAAGGGGTAGATGGCACAACCTATTTAGAGTATGCAAGGTTTGGGGGTCTAGCACTATTACTTTAGGTAACCCTATTACTTTATTACTTTCAAGTATTTAGCAATTATTTAATTTAAATGTAAATAGCTAGAGGGTTGTAGGGTAAAGAAAATATCAGGCTTTTCTGCCCTTCCCCCATCAGGATAGGTGATGGATCCTTGTCCTGAATGCATGCCTGATGGCGGGCACCTGGAATAGGGTGTGGGCATAGGTAGATGGGATTCAGCTGAGCTAAGACTGTGCTTTTTTTTTTTAATTGAATATATATATATGTATGTATATATATATTTTTTTAATTAATAAATTTTATTTTTATATTCCCCATACAATTGCAATCCCCCAATTCTGACCCCAATCCCTCCCTCCCGCCCCCCACCCCCCAAAAAGTGTCTCTGGTTCATAGTTTTTGTTGATTTTGATTTTCACTTTCTTATAGTTATTCATTTTCCTGGCCCCTTATTTAAGTATTCTAGATTTTTTTTTTTTAAGGGCAGCGTCATGGGGACGCCAGCAGCAGCAGCAGTAGCAGCAGCAGCAGCAGCAGCAGCAGAACCTGAAGGAGAAGCCGAAGCAGAAGCAGAGAACGCCAGAGAGCCCAGACAGAGTGAAGACTTGCTGGGGGCTGGGAGGTCTGCCAGCCTCCCAGCCCCCCAGCCAGCACCCCTGCCTGCCATATGCCTGGTGAACCCAAATAAAAAACCTGCAAAACTACTGAGGACTCTGACTCCTCCTTTACCCGGTCTGCATGGGATCAGAAAACCTGCACCGTGTCCAAGTCCTGCCCTTACAATGGGCGTAAGTCGGCAGGATCCATGTAGACGGGTATTGGAGCCCTCCGAAGACCTGGAGGGACTAAGGAGAACAGACTGTTTGCCTGTGATGACGCTGGAGGCGCCATGGCGGCACAGAAGTTGGATACGGTCCGGAGCTGTGGGACGAGACCTCGCATGGAGGAGACGCCCGAGAGGACCAGCCAACGACACCGGAAAGGACCAGCCAATGACCCCTGAGGCAGCAGGCCGTTGCTGAAGCAGGGAGAGGCCAATGGACTGATAGACTGATGAACTGATGATCTTGGACTGACAATCCCGCCAGAAGGCAGAGGACCTTGGCAGGTTATGTTTTTTTTTTTTTTGAGAATCTGGGGGTGGCCAGTGGGCCTTGATGGCCAAAAGCAGCCTGTGCATGCCCAGCAGCCAGGTGGAGGAGAAAAGCCAACTAAGAAGGCAAAAGCTGGTGCTGATGCTAAGTTGAGAAGACCTGAGCGGCTGTTAAGCAGCCTGGGTATGCTGAAGAACTGTGAGTCTCGTAAAATCACCTGTGGGTGATGCCCTGCTCATTCTTGAGTGAGGGTGAGGAGCTGAGGAACCTGTCCTTGGGGGACGGGTGGGGAACGTGGCTTGGGGTGGAGCCCAAGCCGAATGCAGAGTTTGGATCCCTGACCCATGTGCTTGTGCAGTGGGTTGGCTTGAGTGCAGGGGTCTGTGAGTCGCATGGGTGGCTATGAAGGCCGAGTGTTGGAGCGACTGCAGACAGAAACCCTGAGGGTTGGCGATTACCCCCAACAGAATAAAATTGCCAATCCCAGAGCTAGTGCATCCTGGGGGTGGATGCTGTGTGTGCCTTGTAGCCGAGACTACAGCCAGAGAAGGCCAGGAAGCCTGACGGCTCCTGGTGTGTCATAGCAGATGCCGTGAGTGATTCCCCTCCCTCGTATGAGCAGTGCCTTCGGCAGCAGATTTGGTGGCTCATCTGCTGGTACCAATAATTGTCTTTTGCACTTGGTTGGTGCCCTGCCTGGACTTATTTGTGTTCTGTTGTATTTTGTTATATTGTATTTTGTTATATTTGATGCATTTGCTTTTGTGGGCCATGGCTGCATTGTTTGTTTGCTTAGAAAATTGTATATATATGTATAGACTGTATGGCAGAAAACCCTGAGGGGGTGGACTGTAGGGTAAAGAAAGTATCAGGCTTTTCTGCCCTTCCGCCATCAGGATAGATGATGGATCCTTGTTCTGAATGCATGCCTGATGGCGGGCACCTGGAATAGGGTGTGGGCATAGGTAGATGGGATTCAGCTGAGCTAAGACTGTGCTTTTAAGGGCGGCGTCACGGGGACGCCAGCAGCAGCAGCAGCAGCAGCAGCAGCAGCAGCAGCAGCAGCAGCAGCAGCAGCAGCAGCAGCAGCAGCACCTGAAGGAGAAGCCAAAGCAGAAGCAGAGAACGCCAGAGAGCCCAGATAGAGTGAAGACTTGCTGGGGGCTGGGAGGTCTGCCAGCCTCCCAGCACCCCAGCCAGCACCCCTGCCTGCCATATGCCTGGTGAACCCCAAATAAAAAACCTGCAAAACTACTGAGGACTCTGACTCCTCCTTTACCCGGTCTGCATGGGATCAGAAAACCTGCGCTGTGGCCATTCCTGACTTTACAAGGGTAAAGAACAAAATGGTAGCATCTAGATCCTCCACTCCAAAGACCTCGGGAAAGACACAAGATGAATAAGCTGTTGTATATTTTCACTCTTTTATGGAAGAAAATGTTAAGTTTGATGAAGCTCAGTAAATGTAACATTGTATGTTAAGGAAAGCCACAAGGTTCTCTCGAGTCCTATTGCCAAATTAGCTCTACCTTGGGAAACTGACAGAAAAACACAGTTGGGGACAAGTTTCTGAAACAGCAAAGGATGAGATCAAATCTGGATTGCAAATAAAAAGTATGGCACTGCATACGCAGGTCCTAGAATTTGGAGGTACTCCGCGTAAATAAGCAAAATAATCATACATCATCACCTCTGTCTGGAAAAACCCAGAAGAGCTTTGTAAATAGGACAATATTGTGAATAATTTGGTGGTTTGTTGCTATAATTGTACTCCATAGCATTTAATGCTACCAAAGGGAAAAAAAACCACAAGCGAGGTGGGGCATGGATAGGAAGGAGAGGCTGTAGCCTCCGCTGCAGGGTGTGAGCTCTCATGAGTGTCTGTGAGGTTGAGCCCACTGACCTAATGTAGCTTGATGTTATCCCAATGGAAGTTCAAAGTCAAGGTTTGGCTTTTCATCTGTATCCAGATAAAAGATCATTTTTTGAATATAAAAGTGGTACTTTTTCTAATAATTAAGTTTCTAAGCCATCATGCTCTTAAAATGGTTTTCATTATAAAATTAAATGTAGTTCCATTTTGCCAAATATGTGTTAAAAATGAGAAAATTCCTTTTCTGTTTCTGAGTTGTAAAAGGTAATTAATTCAATTTTTGGACAGAAAGTCAAGCAATGCTAATTCTTTATGTGGGACGTAGCTATGGTTGAAAAACAACTAAATTGTAGGGGCTAAATGTAAAACACTTTAAGGGAAGTAGTTGCAATTTGCTTATTTAATTGGCTCATTCTCAATGTTATCTTCTCAGCTATTGCATTTTGCACACAATGCAATTACACACATTGTTTAGATGTAATCTAGCCCCCCAAAATCAGATAGGAGTGGCAAGGAAATGTAAAAGGTTAAATGGTGGCCTCAAAAACATATGTTCAAGATCTAAACCTAAGTACTCATAACTGTGACATTATTTGAAAATAAAGTCTTTGCAGACATAATTAAGGATCTTGAGACAGATAATCCTGGAATTGGAGTGGACCCTAAATCAGATATTCTCATAAGAGACAGAAAAGGAAAAGACACAGAGACACAAAGAAATAGGAAGCTGGAGACAGAGATCGAAGCGATGCTTCCACAAGCTAAGGGAAAACAGGAGCCTCGAGGAGCTGGAAGAGGCAGGAAGATTCTTTCAAGTGAATATCGCTGGGCTGACACTTTGATCTCAGACTTCTGGCCCCGACAGTTGTGAAGGAATATATTTCTGTTATTTTAAGCTCTTCAGGTATTGTATAGTTATAACTGCCTTAGAAAACTAATACAGGAGGCTTCATGAAAACATAACCTTCATTTCTGATTTTATCTGGTTGTATTTTCATTTTTTACTTTGTTTGGCTAAAGGTTTTTCGATTTTATTTGTCTTTTCAAATCACCAGCTCTTGGTTTTATTGACCTTTTGTATTATCTTTTTGATCTCTGTTTCATTGATTTCTGCTCTAATTTCTATTATTTCCTTCTTTCTTCTGACTCATAGTGATTTTTTTTTCTTCTTTTTTAGTTTCCTTAGGTATAACGTTACCTTTCTTACTTGTGTTTCAACAGCTTGATGAATTTAATAAATAACTAGTAACTAATACAATTTGATGATGAGGTCACAATGATGCAGTATGAATATCAACTAATAATTATAAAGAGAGATTATAATTAGGGAAACCTGTTAATCAGCTACTTTAACACTTTAACAGTTATGGATGAAAAAAAAAACAGTTATGGATGAGATAACAGGAGTCAAGATCAAGGTGTTGTCAGTGCAGGTACACAAAGGTGCCTACACACTTTAAAGAAAATGTACCATGGCCACCCACATCTTGTCATATTTTCTTAAATTTTTTCCCATCTGGGATTTTATATAAATATTAATTGCATTCATGCCCACTAAAGTATACTATGCTTTTCCCTACTTATACATTTAACATAAAATTCTAGGCAAAAAGATTAACAACACCTAGTATCATATTTGCATCAGGTAGGATTTAGCCTATATGAAATCTAACAGAAAGATTCTAGAATTTGGGCCTCCCTGGTGGCCTAGGGGTTAAGTCTCAGTGTTATCACCTCCATGGCCTGAGTTCATCCCCAGCCAGGGAGCTGACCCACAAGTGGCGCAGCAGACCTCTCCTGTCTCACCTGATGCCCCCCTCAGCAGTGTATCTCAGTGGATCCCCTATTCTGCTCCCCACTCTGTCTCTGGTGAATCCTCTTACCCCCCACCTCTTAACTATACCCCGGTTCTCCTACACAAAAATAAAAATAAGGGCGTCTCCTGGTGGCGCAGGTAGTTGAGCGCCGCCCGGGGAAGCTGTCTGCAGCTTCTGCAGCGCTGGTTCGATCCTGGCCTGCCGGCAAGGGACCCATATGGCGCGGCAGACCTCTCTTGTCTTGCCCTCTGCTCCCCTCAGCAGTGTATTTTGTCAGTCTGCCTGTTCTGTTCCCCACTCTGTCTCTGATGAATCCTCTCACCCTCCTGTGAATCTGGCCTGTACCCCAGTTCTTGTATAAATAAATCTTAAAAAAATAAATAAATAAAATAAAAATAAATAAAATTTTTTAAAAGGTTATAGAATTAAATTGGTCAATCACCTCAATATATTATACTTACATGAGCACAGATAAAATATATACACTGAAAGACACTATAAGAAACTGTCATTGGAGGGAGAAGGCAGGAGATGTTAGAATAAGACTGAACCCTGAAATCTGAAAAACCTACATTCTTGTCTTATACAATAATTCTTTCAAATATTAAGACTGAATACACTTACCACAACAAAATAGCTAATAGAGAAAGCCACATTTTAAGAATTCTCCATGTCAAATTGGGCGTACATACCCTAAAGCAAATCTTTACAGAGTGTCCTTCAAGGTATTCTAGGAGGTAAAACAAAGGCTGGGAGACTTCCTGAGTTATTCCACTAGAAAGCCACAATGTCTGTTATCATATAAAAGCTCAGATAAAATCTACAGTAAAATCTACAAACTTTCATTCACAAAATGGCTTTTAAATTTATTTCACCTGGAATTTTTTTGAAGGGAGAAAAGAAACAGGAATCATCTCTTTTTATTAATTCACAGCACTAGAGCTCCTTGGAATATTGTCTAAACATGCCGAGTCAACATGCCTTCTGTGGGATAGCTATTTTGAGCATTAAAAAGGAAAAGTTTTCCTTTAAGCAAACGGCAGGTGCTTTATATGAAACAATTGAAATAAATAGCAAGAGTGTTATCATATCAACTGAACTGGAGTCATCACTTTTCTCAAAAACAGTATAAAAATATGCACAGTAACTAAGGAAGCTAAAAAATGAAAAGGGAAAATACCGATATTTTAAGAAATATTCAAGAAAATAGTTTCATATTTCACAATTATGAAAATGATGTTTGGAATGAATATCAACTGGATTCCTGGCACTGAAACACAAAAAATTAGAAGAAACAATATTGTAGAAATCTAGATTTCAAAATATAAAACAAGAAGATGATGAAAATCAAGGTCCACTTGCCAGCTCTTCAGTAGCAAACTCTTCAATTAATTTTAGTAGCAAGTTTCACAGCCAGTCGATGCAACTACCGGCCTTGGGCTCTGACCATAATTTGTAAATCCAAAACCATAAACCCCAGAAATCAAGCTACCACACACAAAATCAAAGTGTTGGGAAGAGAATCCCAACAGTAATGAGAATGGAAGACGCTGCGTCTCACCCAACCAGCTACTTCTCTCTTAACTGGACCTTGCAAACTGGACCTTCTCTCTTAACTGGACTCATCTACTCTTTAAAACCCAGTTCAATTTATTTTCATCTGAAAACCCTCCCATGGGTCTCCACCCCACAGCAAAATTGATCCTACTAATTCTGTAAATCCACAGCCCTTCATACAGGCTTCCCCATTATGGCTCTTACTTTGTGCTAACTGGCGATTTGTTTATCTGCTTCCCACTGCATTAGAATCTTTGTAAGAGAGACTGTCCAATTACTAGCAGAGGCTCAATAAATATCAGTCACATAAATGAGCGAGTAACTGAACAAATGGTTTAAACTCAAAGACAGTCCAGTGTCCCCTAATTTTAAATGCATAGATGACACCCCAGAGTACCTGACAGCCTCCTTTTCAGTGTCTCTTGAGGCCCTCTTATGCATTTCTTCCCATAGTGATATGCAAAGTTAGAGGATAAAATGAGAAAATAAAGCCATCAAATAAGAAATAAAGAAAGGAAAGGAGTAGGAGGAGAATCTAATCATAATTCTAAACCATCAATTTCCCTCTCATGACCTTGAAGAAAACAGTCAGCAGCTTTGAAAAATCACTCACTTGATAAGTTCCACACAGAAATAAGTTCTTTAGGGGGAAAAAAGAGTCAGAAAACTGTTCTGAAATGCCAAAGGTTTTTGGTTGTTTTGCAATGGCATTTATTTGGTATTCGAATGTCACATCTCACTTTGAAAGGCCCAAACTACCCATCAAGATATTACACAGCTCAGTAAGCACCATGCACTCATAAATGTAGTTTGC